AGCTTGTCCTTGATTAATAAGAATAAGAACAATTCAAGAAAAGATCGCTCGCTGATTTACACCGTTATACGTACGAGACAGGTGACAGAGCAAGTCTCGCCGGATTATTATACTGCAGCCGTGGTAGAATTTTCACCGACTTACGTTTGGGGTGATGCCTTGAAAACTTTGACGAACAACACGAACGCGTACATCAAGTACATAGAAGAAGCAAGTAGGCAGGTGAGTTCGATCGATCACTACGATTTTCATGATTTAATTGGTTCTCGTTCTGATATGGTAATTTGTTAAGCAGAACGCTGACATTATCGTCTTCCCAGAGGATGGGCTAACATCGACCCATTTACCCAGCAGAAAACGAATGGATGCCTGGACAACGGCGATTCCTTCCCCCCTCGACGAATACGTCCCTTGCACGGGAGACGAGGTCAACGTGAGTGAAGTAAGTGCTCTGTTGTCCATCCACACTCTTGGATCGATTGGCACACAGTTCTCAATTTTTATTCCTTTTTATTCCTTTTTATTCCTCGTAGACGTTAAAAAGATTATCGTGCGCTGCGAGAAGAAATGGCATCTACGTGGTGGTGAATATCGCGGAGAAAGAGCTTACAATCAGGGACGACGAATGCTCGTCGAATGGCACGTGGCATTATTACAATACCAACGTTGTGTTTGACCGGACGGGAAAAGTAATCGCCAGGTAATCATATTCTGCCGAATCGATCTCAACTCAATTTCTTTCCCGTTTCTTGCACTTGCAACGGTAACGCAGGTATCGCAAAGTGAATCTCTATGTGGAGCCACAATTCGATAATACCGAGATACCGGAAATCGTAACGTTTGACACTGATTTCGGCGAGAGATTCGGCACCTTTATATGCTTCGACATACTATTTGCGGTGCCGGCCTTAAACTTGACGAGAATAGAAGGAGTTTCAAACATCGTATACACGACCGCCTGGTTCTCGGAAACGCCATTTCTAACCGGTATCTATGTTATCAATGTGCTACATATTCTCTTTGTGAATGTGATTCGGTTTTTTCATTTGTAACTTCTGCTCCAGCCCCGCAAACACAATTCGGATGGTCCTATGCCGAGAATGTGAATCTTCTGGCAGCTGGATATCATCGGCCGGAAGTCGGGAATGCCGGAAGTGGTATTTATTTAGGTATGGCACGCAGCTTTCACATCTATTGAAATGTCTATTCTTCGCTTTTAATCTCCTCGCTTTCTCAACTCTCTGTCACAAAGTCTATCTTCAATCTTTCAATCATCATGGTTCAACTCAATTTCCCAGGTCGTAACGGAATTGCCAACGTATCCATGACCCGCGATCCCGAGTATCGGCTTTTGATCTCTCGAGTGCCAAAAACGAAAGTTTTGACGGAATCACCGAACAAAGGAAAGACAGATCAGAAAACGGAGGGGAATGAATCGCCAAAGAAAGTGGATACACTCGATTGGATAACGTTATTACGCGACAATGTTACAACGTACAGGACTTCTTTGTTAAAGTACCATAGGAATGAGGTACATCTGATGTCTAAAGGTTTCCATTGTCAAGTTGAGGCTGAAATGGAGATCGACGATTCGTCTCCGATTCGTTATAACGCAGTGTATTTTAACGATGTTCGTTTGTACGGCACCCAAGTGCAAGCCGGTGTTCGTTTATGTGGCCTGGTACAGTGTCTCGACAATTCGGTCAAATCTTGCGGTTTCGTTGCCCGATCCAACACAACATTTTCCAGTATAAAGGTCACAGCAATGTTCTTCAATTACGATTACCAAAAGATTCTGGCAATGCCCAGCGTACTCGACTATTCGCTCCATCCCTTCGACGATTGGTCGTACGTTGAGAATACGCGTGGAGCCGAAACGAACGTAACTATTACATTGAACAAACCGATGAAAGATCTTATTGCTTTTGGTATATACAGCAGATTCTTTGATAGAGACAGGTGGAATTAATTGTAATATATTCCACATATTCTTTTCGCGTTCGTGATCGATAAATTTTTCAATCAATAAAAGATCCAAAAATACTATGTGTATGTAGCAAATTCTTGATATTCGTTTCTCTGTTCCTTCCCTCTCGATTCTTCTTCTCTTTTTTTTTATGTTTTGGCGCTCAGTTATTCCGAAAAACAATCACAAATCGTAACCTAGATAAAAACAGAATGTTCAAGTTGAGTATGAATGGGAAATGGGAACGCAAGCAAAAAGCAATCATAAATCGAGTACGCATTAGTGAACAATGACGAGTGGAAAGAAATGTCATCTTTCGTATCGATCCCTTTTCGAATATTCGTTGAATGCGAGCCTGCGGACGTTCTCCGCGTGAAATCGATACGCGCATACCGATTTACCCAAAGTAAGCTTTCAAGAGTATCGTCGGAAATCACTTCGGAATTCGAATGTATCGACCAGGCGGAGCTTTGACGAACGAACCGTAGCAAATCATGTGATGTCTTTCGGTACGCTTTCCCAAATACAAAATTCCATGGAAACAAAATAAAATGAAATATCTAAAAGAAGTCCTAGTCCTACTATTGTGTAACTTGCGTAATCGAAGAGGCGATCAAAAAAAAAAAAAAAAAAAGAAACGTAGATAATGTGATCCTTTGCTTTCGATTAGTGGCCGATGTTGCTGGGCTCTACGGGTTCAAGTCTCACTTGTTACATTACATAGAAAGTATGGGGCCAGCACGTAACCTCATAGCTGAAGCGCAAGTTGAAATTAAGTTGCAAAATATAAATGTGGGAAAAGTGTCAATATTTAAATGGCGAGGGAAACCAATCTTCGTTTATCATCGGTAAGCCAATCTATCGACGTAATTGGTCTAAGATCTCTCTATCTTTTTTTAACGTTCAAAAATTTTTGAAATTGTCACATCTTGCAGCTCTCACATCTTGCAGCTCTCAGTCCATCATAGAACAAGAAAGACAAACTGATGTTACAGAACTGAGAGACCCTGAGACAGACGAACAAAGAGTTAAACGACCAGAATGGCTAGTTATTATTGGAATTTATACGCATCTAGGTTGTATATATCAATTCCGAATTCCGGCATTATACGTGGTGAATTTTACTGTCCGTGTCATGGATCTCACTTCGACGCAGCTGGACGTGTACGCAAAGGACCGGCGCCTACCAATTTAAAAATACCCGAATATCGATTCCTCGACGACAGTACCATTCTCGTTGGCTAACTTTATTCCATCTTATTTTCAATTTGATATTTATAAGTTAAATATAATTATAATAATACGAATAACATTTATAACATCGTTACGTTGAAGATAAAGTTCAGGTACCTCATTACCACAACATAACCTCGCTATCTCTCAGATTTAATCATCAATCTGTTGCTAGTTTTGTAAAAATAATTATATACTTCGTGCAACTTTTATTTCTACTTCGTTTCGTTTCTTTTTCCATCATTATTCATACACTTTCATAGATCCTCCGTTGCATTTGTCGTTCTCGTTGTTTGGAGATGTATTCGCTACGTGCAAGGTGGCCACTGAAAGACTAAATGATATTAAACAAAAATAATTTTTACAAACACGTGTTTTTTTATCATTTTATTTGGAAATTTAATTAATGGATTCTTTCAGTATTATGTGCGAAAAGCAACATCCCTCGAATGAGAAAAGATTGAAAACGAACAAGTTATAATATAAGGATTTTTCAAACCCTTCAATTTTTCAGTGGCCATCTTGTATTAGAAAGGAATACCAATTGAAATGCCAGGAATGCCAAACGCCGCGTTTCGGTCATTTCCGGTTACGTTCGGCAAATTTCGGACATCCATTATTCGTCAGTGGCACGCTGCCACGCAGTGTGAGCGTTACGTCGTTGTTTAGTGTTTTGTTTTCCGTCTTCCTTTTTTTTTTCATTCGCTTTTTTTCAATAATTTTATTCGAATCGAATATAAAACCACGTTCGATCGTAAGATCGAATTCGCAATGACGCCACCAATGGAAAGGATACAAATCCTCGAAACGATCGAGAAGGATATTATCGTGTGTCTGCAGAGTGCAGGTATAATTAACAAACTTTTGTTATCGAACGAGATTTGATGTATATATACAATAATTCTCATGTAATTAAAGAGTCATTTTAATAATCACTTCAGGCCAAGCTTTTGTGGAGCTCAGTAAAGAGAAATCTAGCTTGAAACAAGCCGAAGCGCAGACTCAACAATTTTTAAAGACATTAGGACATGTGGAATCCAAGTTGAGCGAACAAATCAATTATCTAACTCAAGTTTCTACAGGTAAATGAAACGCGGGATTCAGAGCTCTTCTCTTTTTTAATTTACTTTACTTCTCTATTTAATTTATTTCTTTCTTTTTTCTTTTTAGGACAACCACACGAAGGTTCTGGATATGCTAGTCAAAAAGTGCTTCAAATGGCATGGCACAGATTAGAACATGCACGAAGCAGAGTAAACGAATTAGAGCGTATTAAAAATAAACCAAGATGAATTCATTAAATGTTTTCTTTTCTAAATGATTATTTTTAATGTAAGGTGATGATAATGTGAATGTTTCGGTCAAAAAAAGTCTGGTTCGAAAACTTGGACTCTTGAATCTATATATGTGCTATCAACACACTTCACGGTGGATATGTTCCTAACAATATTCATGCGAACAATAATAATAATCAGATTTCGCATTTAAGACAAATAAAACGTTCGACTGATTTCATATATATATGTATATATATATCTGTGTTTTTATTACAATGGCACTGCGTGAAGATTTTACAGAAAGAACATTCCTATTGTCAAACTTAAATTTGAATCGTGTTAAAAGATACAAATATGACAAAACGCAAATCATTGAATTATAAATCAAGAATTTATCAAGAACATTTAAGGTACCGACCCATCCACAACACCCATGCTGCGTTTCACTGTTGCGGCTAAAGAAAGTCTCGATCTTCTCTCTTCGTCCAACTGTTTCGTTAATAATGACATTTGCGACTGTAAATCTGTCATTTGATTTTTCAGTGTTCTAACTGTTTCTGATAATGTCCTATTTAAAATGAGAGGATACGTAAAAGACGCGTACTACATTTATAATTATGGATAGAAAAGGTAATGAAATTAGATGTTGATTTACCGATTACTACAAAAATCCCGATTTCCACGATTATGAGTCAACGATGTTCTGTCCCGCATTTTATGTGAATCGTATTCCAGCATGGCTAAAATATAAACACAATATATATAAATGTTATCGTATATCTTAAGAATCAAAAATGTAAGCCACAACTTACAAGTTGATTCTCCAGCATGTACGGTGAATCTAGCATTAACAGAAAGGCAATACGCTTCGATTACCTTCAATATGATTGCATCCTCTTCAAATTGTCTTTCATCTACAAGTGATAATATGCTTTCGGTAATATAGATATACACGTGTATGTTGGAATGTATCTTACATAGTTCAACCGTTTCTACTTTCATATTTGTACCATGTGGTGATCATGTTAAATTCAAGTTAATGTCAATTTTACCAAATACTTTGAAGCTATAGAAAGGAGACGCTGGTCGTAATGAAGCAATACTCCAAGGTGTTTTAATTCCTAGAGAGACACAATGGTCCGTAATTGATCTGTGTTGTGACTGTGGTTGTGGTTGCTGTTGCTGTTGCTGTTGCTGCTGCACTTGTAATTGCTGCTGCTGTTTCCCGCTTTGTTGATTGCAAATCTAGTAAGTCGGGGAAAAAACATGAATTATTACAATGTACTCCAATTCTAACTAAACTGAAATCTTAATTCTGAAACATGCTCTATTAATCACACGTTGATATTCTGAATATACGAAAGAGAAATCATGAATGTATCGATTGTATATGCAAGTTAATGTTGATTTTCTCTTTCCAATTGAATTCTTAAAATGCATACTGACGTTAGTAAAGCGAAAGCTTACTTCACATAACATGGCTGTGAAATGGAAGCATACGCTTGTGTGCGAACGCGCGCGTATACATACGTGCTTCTCTCTCTCTTTCTCTCTCTCTCTCTCTTTCTCTCCTCTCTCTCATTCTTCGTTTCTTCCTGTATGTATGTGTGCATATGTCGTACGCGTTCATGTGTAAAAAAAATACAATTAGTGATAAAACAAGCAAAAAACGCTAACTAAACAAGTAGAAAGAAAAGAACAGCCATGCCATGGAAGCTTGCCTTGGTCCGAGCATCCAGAAAATGGTATGGACTTCTTCAACCACCAATGGGCATACAGTCCCGACGTATATATCTGTTTCGTTTCGTTATAATCGTTTTCAATTACAGGACGATTTGGTTGAATCGGTTTCCTTCCAACTTTTCGTACGATGGTTTGATGTGTGTACGGTATAGGCTGCGTAAACCTTTTTGGCATTACATTACGAGAAAGCTCGTTTTCTCGTTTTTGTATTTTATTCGTAGCAAAAGCATGATCAGAATTGTAAACTATCGTACTAGAGGTTTCGCAGATTGGAGGATCCAAAGTGTTATCAATGTGTTTCGATAAATCAGATAAGTGGGCACTATCCCTGGGAATCGAATCAAAAGGCGATGTACAAACACATTGATATTCAAAATTATTCTCATCATTCTCACTTTCGCCAGAACAGAGTCTTACAGGGCGTTTGATGTTATTATCGACGCAAGTACACGATTTACAAGAAGAATTGATTTCAGAGGAATTCAATCGATAACTTTCAGCCATTCCCGAATCTGACGATCCAACGCTAATTACATTCGTTTGAAAACCAAATCCTTGAGGATGTGTGTCAGTTCGGCAGCAATGTTCAATAATATTAGAGTTGCACACAGGAACAGACGGATGATGTATAGAATTTACGGTAGCAAATTGTTCGTCAGTGAATTTGTTAGTCTTCCAACACTTCGTCGCGACCGTCGCATTTATCTGTTTCTCCATATTGCCAAAAATGTCTTGATGGATGTTATAATCAATCGGAAACGAACGAGCAAGATTATTAAAACGTGATCGACTAGCAGCTTGTTCATCGGCAATACTAACGTTATTTATATTATTATTATTGATGAAACCAGTAGTTACAGAACTTCCAAAGTTAACGAGTGGCAAGCTTTTGCTAATTTCACTTCGTCTCTCAGTTGATACTAATTCCGTTAAAGATGAATCCTCTGTTATTCCTACAGTACTAAGGTCTATGTCTGCTAATACATATCTTACATCGAGAGTCAGAGTAGATTTGCGCAACGTTGTCGTACCAATGAAAGATTGTCCTGTTGTGATCTTATTCGACTCGAAGCTTTCTGAATTGTGGGAACAGGAATCCTGACTAGTTGTTTGCATCGGATGAAGGACATATGTCGTTACATTAGTCTTTCGCATTTTCACATTACTCATGTCCGGTCGTAGAACATATTGTAAATAAAGCAATTTTTTCAAAAGTTCGGGACGTATAATTTTTCTCCTGACCAATTTTGCAAAATATCTTGAAAGACGAGCATATGGAGGTAAATTATAACTCACGCGTGACGTTGTCGGTGATTTGACAAGATTGTTACTCGTTTGTTCCTGTATTAAAAGTTCGATCCATCGTTGTTGATCTTCTTTAGTAGCGCAAAGTACTAGTATTCTTTCAATCATTGGACCTAAAATCAAATCAGACATTTTATTGATCAAAGATCAATTTTTTTTTTTTTTTTTTTTTT